TAAAGGATCTACTGCTAATGTCTCGGTGCCTGATACCACAGGAGACCATCAGAGAGCTTGCTGAAAGCTGTTATTGCACGAAGGGGACCCACGCAACTCTAAGGAGGCGGTAATATTAAAAGAGTGCTGTACATCACAAATGAATGAAAAATGTCATAAACTGAAACGTTGCCCATCCATGCCACTTATCCTTCCAACTATTATTGTACAATTAGCTCACAAGTAGAGCATCACAGATGAGTTACATCTCAGTGGTGAGTCGAGCGTGATTCAGTCCCAAAGGCTACTGCAAATTGGCTTAAATGCCATATGTTTGTTTGCACTGAGCAAGGCTTTAATTGGTTCGTGTGAGCCCTGAAATCAAACCCTTAATCCTCACGGGATTAACACCGCACACTGTTGAGGTTTAAGGCTTGATTATGTCCACAACTTGCAGGCAGTTGTGACATTAAATGCCAGACAGTATGTCCACACTGAAAAGGAAGTGAATGACAAGCTTTCAGTAAATTATTTGCAAGGGTCCAACATCAAAGCATCTGTAGACATGATAACGCTGCAGTAAATACTAACTTCTACAGATTTTAAATGGGCCTACAGTAAATTTAAGACCATAGCTTATGGAAGGATTTAGACCCATATGTCCTGCAGAGGTATAAGATTTTGCAGGCTAAGAATTAGACCTGTGGACTGCTGCTGTACAGTAGCCCTGCCAAACTTAGCTCTGTGCTATAAGGCAACTCAAACCTCAAGAATCACACAGCTCTGAACTTTGACTGGAAATAAGATAAGATGCTTTGGAGCTACAAAAAAATAAATAAATAAATAAAAGGCATGAAGGTGAAAAAATTGAAGGAGTTACCACCAATATCAGTCCAAACCTACAAGCTGCAGGCTATATTCTTTAGTAATCTTAAATATCATGCGCTTAACCAATTTAAGTTCTCAGCATAACCTTAGAAAAACCCTCTGACACACTCGAACTAAACTTGGCCTCTCATTTGATAGCAGCACCTCTGCTCAGCCAGTGACAGTGACGCCCGGCTCCCTGGTGTATTTTTGTCTCGCTGCCCCCCGTAGCTGATATGTGCAGTGGCACCTTATAAGTCAAATGTTCATTCCAGGAAGTGAACGCTTGTGCAACAGCTTCTTTCCTTTCCCCACTGGCATCAGGGGGAAAAAGGAAACACCAGTTTAAAAAGGGCTGAGATTAACATCTGAAGGGTTGGCATCAGGATGTGAAGATGAAAGTCTGTGGAAAAAACCTCCACAGACCGTTACTGTCACATTTAGGTCAGTTAGGATTTACTGAAAGAAAAGGAATCTCTGCCAAGGCCATAAGAAGGGAATCTAAACAACAAATGACAAACTTCAGTGCCACCAAATAAAGGACAAAAGGTTAAAGATTTTATTTTTTTAAATCTCCCAGTAGGCCAAGGGCAAAACCAGCATTCATGTATAATACTGCTTCACACTATGAAGCCTAATACAGGGGAATTGGACTCCCAGTGTAGGACAGGAGACTCTAAAGAGACAGCTGACAACCATAACAGCAACCTGTCCAGCAAACCAACCAGAGGGGCAACACGAGAGGGAAAGGGTGGGGGGAAAAGAAGCAAGTGGATTGTCCACTAATAATTTAAAAAGGATAAAATGTTAAACCTGGAAACCCTGTAGAAGCAAAGTAAGGTCTATGGGTGGAGAAGGTTCACAAAGATGTTCAGTTTCACATCAGAGGTAATAACCAGCAAAGAAATGAGACGCATCAACTTTTTTTAGTGTAACAAAATGGTAAATGGGTAATGGACTCATCCAGCGTCATTTAATCCTATATTTGTCACATGCAAAGTTACATTCCGACCATATGTACATAGCACAAGCATGACATTGGGAAGACAGGTCGGAGAGAGGTAGAACGGTAAGAAAAACAATGAAAATGCACAACATCAGGGACAAGAGGGAAAAAAAAGTACTCTACTCAACATAAAAATTCAAAGCACTTTATATAACTTTCCTCATTCACACACTTACACAAGCACTTTTTTCCCCCTATGCTTTTTCTACGCAAGTGCTTTCTATCCAACTTTCACAGCACAACTTGGGGTTAGTATCTCGCCCAAAGGTATTTGGCATGCAGCCTGGAGCAGCCAGAGATCAAACCACCAACCTTGCAGTTAGCATATGACCTGCTCTACAGCCACCACAGTGCACTGTAGCTCAGGAGCGTGCTCGTTGGAGCAAAAGGATACACAGAGCATGTATGAGTAACATTAAACGCTCATTTAGTTTGTTGGTAACAGATTTGAGTCAGCTGCTGTGGGCAGTACAGAGTGTGAAAATACTGAATTTAAAAATTGGTTTCCTTCTTCAGCAGACAAAAACACCAACAACAAAAAAA